GGACGGCGTCCCTTGCGCCCCCGCGCGCGCCATCGAGCGCGAGGCCCCTTTTTCCGAGGGCTGCGCCCAGGCTGCCACCGAAGGAGATGGGGGGGGGGCGCCGTCGTTAGCCGGCGCGGGTCCGCCACCCAACGCCGCGCCTTGGGAGGCCAGGGCACGACTTGCGTTAGAGACGTTGTCCAAATCGCCAGGGCAGGGGCTAACGGGCGCGCCTGAATCCGAGCCAGGGCCGAAGATGGCGCGACTTCTCGCTAAATCGTCCAAGACTGTTCGGGAGGCGAGCTGAAGCGTGAACGCTCAGCAAACAAATTATCAGGCGAGCATCGAACTCGCTCCCGCAGCCAGCCGCCCCGCGAGGCTAAAGTCAACCAACCCCAGGCAGAGACCGCCGCGGGTGAATCGTCAATGGCGCCTCCGCCATCTGGGGCGGCTCGGCCGCCGGCAGGCCCTTCAGAACCAGGGGTGCCAGCTCGTCATCGCGCGCGCATTTTTGCTTCGCCAGCGCAAGAGGCCCCTGCTATTGGCTCAAAGGGTACACAAATCAGACGACGAAGAGTTTGAGCCGAACCATGTTTTACTTAATGCGCACTCAAATGGCCCGCGCAGGCGGCGCGCGCTTCCGGGGGTATTATCTCGGCGATTGGTAAACAACAACGTCGAGCGGGAGTTGGCGGATGCCACTGGCCAGGTTATCCACGGCGAGGGCACCGTCGATTGTTCCTAGTCCTCCACGAGGATGCGCACGGGGCGTCGTCGCTGGATTTCCTGGCTGGAACTCTTGCAGGGAGGGGCCAGTTCTCCGAGCGCAGGCGCGCTAAGCGCGAGAAGTGGTTAGATCAGATCAGCTGCACGCATGCCTCGCAATTTCCGGTCCGCGTTCAACCCGCGTCAGCTCGATCCATCGTTTGTCGAGTTATGGCGCGGCTACTGCAATCCGCACCAGGGCGCGTCCAAAACGGAAGTGCCAATCCAGGCTTGCCCCGACGTGCAAGAAAATGAATTGTCAAGCGCGCGGCGCGATGTCCGAGATGCCGCGGGCGGGCAGACCCACGACGCTTTACGCCGAAGTTGTCCATGAGGAAACACACAGAGACCAGGGCGAAATTAGTTGGTACTGGCACAGTCACCGTGCGTTTTGCCGCTGGGGAGTTCGCGGGCGTCTTCATTGAGCTCGCGGATGACCTCGTGATCTCTTGCGAGCAGTACGAGGTGTTAGAAGGGTGAAGCGTGGGGGAGTTGAGGGCGCCGATGTCGCCGCCGAGGGCCTGCTGGTGTCAGACCATGCTAAAGGTTAAAACAACACCGCGTGATCGACGCGCGTGGGTTCCCTCTTCGTGACGCGCGTCATATGTCCAAACGCTAGCAGGAAGCGGTGTGCTGGCAAGCTTGGTTACCAGCCTTCGACTCATAGTAATGAGCCGAGGGGGGGCGATAGATTGCCCACCCCAACACTGGCACCGAGTTACATAGGCTACGTGAATTTAACCCTGCGTTTCCTTGTTACCTCCACAACCCTGGTCGTAGCGAAGCGATTGGCAGGCTCGACGAGATTGCCAATCGAAGTATCAAACGCATTCTGGGCGATGACTTCGGATGCTGGGTAGACTTTTGCGAGCACAACGCTGCGGACAGGTCTGGTCAGTTGTGCGACGCCATGGGTCAGTTTTGCTTTTTCGCCGGCAGTGTTCCTTGGGTTGGAGACTCGGCGGAGTTTTGCGCTACGCGTGTTTCTCTTTACCCGGCTCGCCTTATATATGTTGCGCACCCGTCGCTCTCATCGGCCACGACGGCCGATGGGGGGTGTTAGAACGTAACTCTGCGAGTGGGTGAGGAGCGCAGCAGCATCACTTAGGCCAGCAGCTGTCGGTGACCGACGCTGTTTGGCGCAAGTACCATTCGCGGAGCTCGCGCCACGTCCGCCTACAAGAAGCATCGCCGTTACCATTAGATTTGTCCCGTGCAATCCTCAGGAATTAACATCAGGAGGAGGGTGGATCCACTCGATGTGTGTCTCGCTTGATGTGGGCGGCGTGGCGCGGGTGAAGCCATTTCTGGAACTCTCCTCCTCCCCCCCCATCGTCCTCCTGTTCCTCCTCCTCTTCCTCCTCCTCCTCCTCCTCCTCTTCCTCCTCCTCCTCCTCTTCCTCCTCCCGAACTGGGCAGGGGGACCGCACATGGACTACTCACCCACTGGGTTTGAGGTGGGTTTCCCCACGGGGCACGATCCGCGCGATGGGTGCGCCGAAATGCGCGGGGAGACCGTACGCAGGCGCACCCCCGAGGGCCGCAGATGGAGCTCCCGGGGGACAAGATCCGTGTGGGAAGTGTTCCGCAATGGGCGGGGGGGCGCTATGTGGACGCATCCCCTGGCGGAGGCGGCCAAGAGGGGGGTGATGACTAGGGAGGAAGGGGAATATCATGGCGGGGGCCACGATATCTTTCCAGGTTTCATGGCGCCTCTTCTTATTTCACTACGTCCCTGGGGCCGCCCCTGGGCCACGCATGTGCCGCTGGCCATGATTTGCGCCCCCCCATTTTGGACACCCCCCTCTTGGCCGACCCCGAGTAGGTGAAGCGCCCTATGGAGCAACGATATTCGTGATGCGTGTGCCGCCCAGGGCCAAGATGCTCGTGACGGGTGTGCGTTTTCGTCCGTCCCCCTTCCATCCTCGCCCCTTCGTTTCGCTTCCCCCCGTCCTCGTCCCCCCTCTTCCACCTCCTCCTTCGTCCTCGTCCCCCTCGTCCTACTCGTCCTCCTTTGTCCTCCTCGCCCTCCGCTTACATCGTGGCTCAAGCCACCTGGGGTCGAGCGTTTCGAGGCTGGGCCCCGTGACCCGGGCCAACAGCGGCAGTGCCCGCCCGCGCCGCCATTGCGCTGTGCTGCTTGCGCGCGGGCTGTGGGCAGCCCGTGACTGCCAGGGATGCCGGTCCCCCCTTGGCGCCCCCCGCTTTGGTGCCGCCGAACGGTCTCTTCGCACCCGCGCCGCGCTGTCAGGCATGCGGCACCTGGGCGCTTCGTATTGGACACAGGGCCAGGGATGGCCCCCCGGGTCTTCTTCTCTCCCGGCCACCCCCTGCCCCGGGCCCATTTTGATCCGCTCGATCCGATTCGATTCCACTCTCGGCCAGCTCCACCCCGTTCGACCTCGGTGTCCCGGAGATCTGTTGCGGCCCGATGCCTGCGTGGCGGTGCTGTGCATCCTGGTGCAGCCCATCCGGTTCGATTCCGACTCCATGCCGGTGCGAGACGACCCGACCTCGGCATCGCTCGGACGTGTGTATTTTTCCTTCGGCGAGGACCATCGACGAGCATCCTTGATCATTTGGCGAAAAAAACACGCACGAAATCGAAAAAAGCACAGGGAATGGACGTATGAGCGATGGACAGCGACGCACATTCCGATCCGACCCGATTTTCCGATTCGATGCCGACCGATCCTGCCTCCGGCCCCAGCGCCCCTGTGCCAGTCGAGCTCTTCTTCTTCTTCTTCTTCTGGGGCGGCCGTCCGAAGGAAAGGGCCGTCGAGGCCGTCGTCGAGTCCGCCGTCGAGTCGGCCGCCGTGGTCGCCGCTGTCTTCCGCGCCGTCGAGTCGGCAGAGGGCGAGATCTTCGACGGTCGGCACGAGGGTGGTGACTGTGGCGAAGCAGCGAAGCAGGAGAAGTCGAGTCCGGCGCTCCAGTTGCCGAGCGAGCTGAGGAGGGAAGAGTTTTAGACCCTTGCCGAGGCGCGCTTAGGTGTCGCCGTCTTCACCGCACGTGTTGCAGGATGAGGAGGAGGAGGAGGAGGAGGAGGAGGAGGAGGAGGTGTCGCAGGCTCTGGCGCCGTCAACGTGGACCCAGTAATCGTGGGTCATCGTGCGCAAGGATAAGCAGCGTGCGCGGGATCCCTGTGTGCACGAGAGCCGTGGGCCAGACTTGACTGGGATATCAAGTTCCCGGGCAAGAGAGACAGCAGGGTCCAGGCCATCGGGATGGGCCATAGCATAAAAGGCGAACATTTGCGTGCTTCTCCCGGTCAGCGGGCAGGGCAAGGCGAATCTCGTGGACATGTCCGAGCTCGACACCGCTAAGGAGAGAACCGAGCAGGGTGTGCACTGTTGTGACCACTTTATGCCTCCCGCGAGGCCGCAGGAGAGCAGGCCAGGCGCACCACCGCTGTCGCGCAGAAGCCTGGGGCAATGCCAGGGGCCATCGCAGACGGATCCAGCAGCTCGCCTTCACTGTCATAGGGTCGCGCAGCTCACTGCATTCCTGAGGCTTGCAACGCCTCAGGAGTCTCCCATGGAGTCACTCGCAGCATAATTTCTTGTGGGGTGGCCTGCTTGCGCGCGACTGCCAGTTTGTAAATGGATTGATCCATACGTTATGGGAGAGAGGGTGGGAACGGCCGGAGCCCGCTGAGCCGTTCGCCCGCTGGGTCGTTTGGCTTGGCAAAGTTGACTCCTCATCCCCATCTTCTCCTCCTCCTCCTCATTTTCCTTCTCACTCCCCAGCCCTCCCTCCTCGTTCCTCCCTTCTCCTCCTCCTGATTATCATCATCATCACCATCACCATCACCATCACCATCATCATCATCATCATCATCATCATCATCATCATCATCATCATCATCATCATCATCACCATCACCATCGCCATAATCATCACCATCACCATCACCATCACCATCATCATCACCATCACCATCAGCATCAGCATCATCAGCATCATCGTCATCGTCATCGTCATCGTCATCATCATCATCATCATCATCATCATTATCATCATTATCATCATCATCATCATCATATTCTTCTTCTTCATCATCATCATCATCTTCATCTTCATCTTCATCTTCATCTTCATCATCATCGTCGTCATCATCATCGTCATCAGCATCATCATCATCATCATCATCATCATCATCATCATCATGATCATCATCTCTCTCCCTCCCCACCCCCCTCCCCCCCGTGGCGCCCCGCGCGCGAGAGCAGCCGCCCGTGCCCGCGCCGCTCCAGGCGAGCAGCTGCGTCCCTCCGACGCAATCGGCGGGCAGCGCCGGCGCTCGCTGCGCTCCCTGCGGCGGCCGCTGACGACCACGGGCGTCGTCATGGCGCTGACGGACGCGGCGTTCAGTTCGGACGCGGACAGGCGGGGAGGGGGAAGGGGCGGAAGGAGGGGGGGGAGGGGGGGGGGGGGCGGGGCGGGCAGGAGGGCGGGGAGAGGAGGGGAGAGGGGGGGGAGGCGGGGCGGACAGGAGGGCGGGGGAGAGGGAAGGGGAGAGGGAAGACGATGAGGAGGAGGCGATGAGGAGGAGGAGGAGGACCAGTGCACAGCCAATGTGCGCCAGCGATGCGGCAAGGACGCCCTCTGCCGTCCTGTGCTCTTCCGCAGTAGCCCGTGCAAGCATTCTTCTTCACTGCGCGAAGCCCCAGGGGAGCTGCGCGATGCGCCGCGCCGCCGGCGCCGCGAATTCGGACGCGCTGCCCCCGGCGCGCCGCACGTCATGCAGCAGGGGCTTCTCTCGGGGCCCCTCGAGGTGGCCCCTCGACATCGCCCGGGGTGGCTCCCGGTTGGGCGCTCGCCCCGTGGGTCCGCAATCCATGCGGGAGCTCCATTTTGCCTTGGCTCTACAAGGGATGCGATGAGCCTCGGCGTTCGTGTTCAGGGAAGCGCCCAGCGATGTTTTTTTCGGGAAAAGGAAGCGCCCTTCATCCGTGTAGCTGTTTCGCACGTGCAGGGCTCTGGCCGTTCAACGCAACGAAGTCTCAGGCCCGAGGCCCTTTTCGGAAAGAGACAGCCCTGCATCCGCGTAACTGCTGCATGATTGTGCACTCGTGGCATTGGGTTAGGAGGAAATCAGGCGATAACGAACCGAGTTCCATCCGCGTCGTTGATGCAAGCTTCTGAGACGACCGTGCGCGGTGCTGAGACAAGAGCCCCATTTTGAAATCGAGCTGGCCTCCGGCGCGCCGCGCTCAGGCGAGAGCCACATGTTGAAAACAAGCCGGCCTTCCATCTGTGGAAGTGTGGCAACATGCCATTAAGACTAATGTGAGCTACGCTCGGGCGAGAGCCGCATTTATGGCCTCCATCCGTGTAGCTGTTGGAATATTCGAGACGGCAGTGCGCGACGCCAATGCGAGAGCCACTTTTGGAATAGGTACCAGCCTCCAGCCATGTAACTGTGCCCTGCGCCATGTCCCTCGCCTCCCAGGGGTAGCCCTGGAACGCGTCGCTGTTCCAGCGCCCCCACCGCAGGCCAGCCACGACTGGGGGAGCTGTGGTCCTTACCCCCCTGGGGGGACCCATCGATTTCACACCCCTCTCGAGAGATCGTCGATGCGATGGGTTCCCCCAGGGGGGTAAGGACCACAGCTCCCCCAGTCATGGCTGGTCGGCAACGCTGCGTGAGCGCCGTGTCCTTGAACGCCGCGTGCAGGGCAGACGCGTCCCCGACCCACAGGCTGTGCGAGCGAGGGTCGTCCGGGGCAGTACGTACTCGGTCCGGAGGTCTCGGGCGAGGCGCCAGTCCTGGCCTGCGGGCACGTGCTGGTGGTGCGAGAGCGAGGAGCTGTGTTTCAAGGAACGGGTGAGGAGGAGGACGAGAACGAGGAGGAGGAGGAGGTGGAGGAGGAGGAGGGGGAGGGGTGGGATGAACAGGAGGAGGACAAGGTGGGGGGAGGAGGAGGAGGAGGAGGAGGAGGAGGAGGAGGAGGACGAGGACGAGGACGAGGACGAGGACGAGGACGAGAACGAGGAGGAGGCGGAGGAGGAGTGGTAGGGGGAGGCGGAGTTCACCGTCTCGGCACGCAGCTCGGCTTCGGACAGGCGAACTCCTTGTTGTATTGCAGTGTCGGGAACTCCGCGCCCGAGGTCTTGCATCTGTCTTGGCCAGCGGGCCCCGTTTGGAACTTGCACGGCCCGTCAGAATTCGACCTGGGACCGATGTTGAACGGATTTGATTCGGAGGAGGAGGTTGGGGAAGAGAGGGAGGGCGAGAAGACGAGGAGGGGGAAACAGGGTGGAAGGGGGACACCAAGGGTATTCAATATGATGTTGGAGTGGGCCTTGTACGACTTGCAATTCCACTTGTGTTGATTCGAACGCCCGTCAGTGAATTTCGCTTCTTATTTGCATAGATATGTTGGCAGGTTCGGTCGGCGACATCTTGATCATGGTCCAGGAACTCACGGATGCCACATACGGTTTGGTATTCCGTTGGAAGGCGTCGCCTTTTATCACGCATGGCAAGTAGGACTATTCACGGAACTCTCACTGACGGACCTGTCGTGCACGGTGCGGCGGTAATTGTGAATCAGGTGGATTTCACCGCGTGTGTTGAATACCGACTCGGCAAAGTTGAAGGTAAAAATTGGAGTAACGCGGTCGCATATAGGGGCAACGGATCCATGGTGGACAAGATGAATTCGCGGTCCCGTGCTCCGGCAGCTAGTGTGGCTCACGGCTCGTCGACGTGGCATCTAGCTCAAAACATCATCTGGTTTTGGCTTGCGGCGGAGGATGTTCGCATTCCGCCGCAAGCCAGATGCAGGGCCACCTTATTCTATGATCCGTTTCTGCGTCGTGGAAGGTTTGTTCCGTCTTACATGGGCTCGCATTTTGCATGTTCGTGTCCTTCGGAGTGTCTTCGAGACAGCATGGGGAGAGAGAGAGCTCTGCTCCGAAGATTGTGGGGTGCAGCTAGCTCCTTGCAGCGAGGGAGGCAATCAGCCGACCGGTGGGAGACGGCTGGGCACGTGTACAGCGGAAAGCGTACGGCATGTTCGCGTCGTGTCGACCGGCGGCGATCCCGCCGCTGGCGTTCAACGTTGCGCGCCGCCGGCAACTCAGCATCGGTCGATGTTGAACGATCTGACGTTTCGGAAACTGCCGTTCAAGGTGGAACGAGCCCCGCGGTGTCAGGAATCATTGCCGAAGTCGGCACGGCACGAACCTGCCATAGGCGGAAGGATGGCAACCCCGACGAGTTCTACGTCTTCAAGCCGACGCTGCAAAAGGGCAAGGAGGCGATAATCTCCAAGACGATGGACCTGGGTTCCAAGCTCCCCACGCTGGCGTACGCCAAGGAGGGCGGCAGCGAAAGCATCGATACCACCCCCGAGAGGCGTGCTGGCCGCTTTTAGAAACGCCCCAGGTTCAGTTCCAGGGCGCCGCACCATTGGATTCCGGCGCCTTGGCACACCTGCAACACCCAGGTGCCGCACAGTGTCGGACGGGAGCGCGTCATTAGTTCTACAGTTTATTGTTGAATTGCGCGGACTCTTTGAATTGGACAAGCAGCTGTCCCCCTTGGCGCGCAGGCCCGCCCTGCGCTTCCATTCCGCGGCTGCGGGGCCGCGACGCATGGGCCAGCTCTCTTTCCAGGGTTGCCCTTCGCACGTTTGTTTTCGCGTGTTCCTCGTCGTGCGCTGACACGCGCGCGGCGTGGGCCATCCCCTTGGCGTTGGTGCCGCAGCCCGCCCGATGCTTCTATTCCGTCGCTGCGGGGCCGTGGCGCTTGGGCCAGTTCGCCGCCCAGTGATAGCCCCTTACAGGTTACCCCGCCAAACCACGGCGCGATTAGAGTGTGGCACGAACCCGTCCAATCTAGAAAGTTTTCGGCAGCCTCTTTGGTCTTCTGCAAAAATGCAAGGATCAGTTCTCCCACGAGGCTGGCTAATTTACTTGCGGAACTTGCTGTGGTGAAGTGGAGTATTGTGTGTGTTTCTGCGAGACAAGGGCCGCAGAATCTGATGTCACACTTCATGGAGGCCACCGCCTGATTTCTGGATTGGGTGAGGCGCGCCATACAAGTCCGTTGTTCCTTTTGCATGCAGATTTCGCTGGCAAAGTCAGCCGGGTTCGTCTACAACCTGGACGAATCACTGTAGTTGACATTGACGAGTATTCGGGTTACAATTTTCGGATTTTCGCTGCTTGCGCCCCTCATCTTGGTTACGGCCACGCTTGTTTATTCGATCTCGTCGCGGAGCTGCAGAATCTACTGGTTGAAGCGGAAGGTGTTGATTGGTGGAGATTTTAACACGCAGCTCCGGCTCGGCATACGCAGTTATATATGTTGCGTGGGTTTGCTGCTGAGCACAAGCTAACCATCACGACAGACGATGAAACCATTCCGTGGGATGGGAAAAAAGCCTTCCGAGGTCACCCTGGGGAAGCGACGCCAACTGGACTACATTCTCGTCGACGACGCTTTCAGCTTCAGCGCGGCCGGGGTTACGAATCAGCCTGACCTTGGTTCAGATCACTGGAGCGCTGTTTCATGCATTGATATATTGGGGCCGGTCGCCGAGGGGCCCGTTCGACCGAGACGTGCAAAATTGCGAGGGTCTTCGTTGTATCAGAAGCAAGTCGAGTCCATGCTGGGCGCCTGTCTTGGCCAAAACGACGATCTACACGAACTGCGGCGGCAAGGCCGGCAATGCTTGGACGCTGCTGAGCGACGACGGTTGTCCAAGTGAATAGCGACTGGTACGAGGAAAGCTCTTCGGGAGTGGCAGACAGAGAAAGTTCGCGTGCAACTTGAACTTTTTTCAGGTATGAAGAAACTTCGGGCATTCTGTACGGAGCTTGTGAAAGGGCAAAGCGGCTGTGCGACCAGACCCGCGGGCATTCGCGACCATGTTGCAGAACGTCTACTCGTCGGAGGTCGGCGCGCCGCTTCCTGGCGACACCTCTCAGCTACAACGTATACCAGATATCACGCCACGAGAATTGCAAACAGTTCTTAAATCAATGGACGGCAAGAAATGTGCTGACAAGCGTGGAGTTATGACGGACACTTTTTCGTCATGCGGGCCCGCTTGCCCACTCAGCTCTGATCGAATGTCTGAACGATGTCGTACACACTGGTGTTTTACCCAGCGATTGGAGGGAGCTGTTGTATGTCATGATTCCCAAGGCGGGCAACGCTCTAGATCCGAACAATTGGAGACCACTTGCCATCTCGGACATTTCATACAAGATCCTGGCCAGAATCTTGCACGACCGCCTCAAGGCCATCCTGGAGCCCCGCCAGCAGCCAGAGCAGCTGGGATTTCGGTCCGGCACTGGGACAGAACACGCGCTATTCGAAGACAGGATTCATAAATCAATTGAATTTGATTCGCCGGTATGGATCGTGAGCATAGACTTGCCCAAGGCTTTCGACAGGATAGAACACGCTGCTGTGTTCGACGCCATGTCAGAGCAAGGAGTTCTTGTCGAGTACCGCACGCTGCTGCAATGCTTGTACACTGCTCAACGCGGCGTTGTGGACAGCTGTCAATTTGACATAGCACGCGGTGTCAGACAGGGCGACGTTATTAGTCCGATGCTCTTCAACGCTGCGCTGGAGGCGGTCACGCGCCGGTGGAAGGCTCGGCTCGGCAATCGCGGTCTTCTGCTCAGTCCACAGAACGAGCGCTTGACAAACATTAGGTATGCTGACGATCTACTGTTATTTGCTCCGTCCCTTGGGGATGCGATATTCATGCTTGGTTGCCTGGTTGAGGAATTGGACAGAGACAGTTTGTCTGTGAATGCACGGAAATCGAACACATTGAGACAACATGTTTTAACGTCCTAGCAGAAGAGCTCCCGCTTTTCGTCGACGCCAGTGGTGGGATGGTTGAAGTTGTCAAGCACGCGGGCACGCACAAATACCTTGGCCGGTTACTGAGCGGCGATTTGAGACTGCGTGGTAAGTGCAATTTGGAACATCGGATGAAATGCACCTGGCTCAAATACCATCAACATGCGGCGCCCCTCCAGAATTTCAACGTTCCGATCAAATTGAGGCTGCGTCTTTTCGACTCCGTGGTGACGCCGGCTGTTCTCTACAGCATGACCACGACACCTCTCACTCAAAAAAGACCGAGAAGGTGGACGCGATCCAGAGAAAAATGTTGAGGCGCATGGTTGGGTGGGTTCGATTGGAGGACGAAGCGCGGCAGCTTACTGGCCATCGCATGAAGCTCCAGCTGGAAGCGGCTCTTGCCCAACAGCCCGTCACAGGCTGCAGCATCAGGCGCAACAGACAGATATATTCGCTAATTCAACAAATCGAGCACGGATCCTTGTCAGAATGGTGTTCTGTGTGGCATGCTTGGCGACCTGCCCGGGCGCGCCATCGAGGCCGACCGCTTCAGAGGTGGACTGACTGAGTCTGTGCCTGTCAGCGCGGTTCTCTTCGTGAAGGTGCCCGCGAAGGAAATCTGAGCGTGTTCACTCCCTTCCCTTTCCCCCTCCCCCTTCCCCTTCCCCTTTCCACCTCCTGCTCCCGCTCCTTCCTGCCCGCGAAGCAATCCAGGCACGATGATCGCTTAATCGTCCAGGTGCCGGAGGCAGGGGCAAAATGATTTCCCCCGAGTTCAAGATTGGCACGGCCGTCGGGCTGAGCGGGTGTAGCGTAGCGGTGCGACGGAGGACGGAGGGTGGCAGCGCATTCTCTTGGGCGCATGCCGACAGAACGCGGCGAGGGTGTTCCGGAGACGGTTTTCAATTGTTGTCGGCTGTCAACCCATGGCGGCCGAAGTGAAGGGCCAGACCGCCCAGGCCAACCCAAGCCCGGAACAAGCCTTTGATCGACTCGCCCGGGCCCTGTTTGCTGTGCTTGACGGCGACGGGAAACAGCCAGAACACAATCGGGGGCGAGCGAGGGGGGGAAGTGAGAAGGACAAGGCTTTCACAGACGGCGGCGGGAGTGTTCAGAATCCCTCCGGTCTTCTGAGGGGCGTTCTGTGTCTCGGGGGTGTGTGGAAAATTTGCAGGAACGCCCAATCATGTCGGCGCCTTCGGAGAAGGCCCGCCAGTCTCACGACAGAAGCAGCGCACCGTGTGCCCCGGGAGCAGCACTTGGATATGACGCAGCAGGACGCAGGCGGCGGCGACGAGGGCAAGGGCGGGCCAGTTGCGCTGGGAGCGCGCGGCCCGCCTCGCAGCTGGGGCCCCAGGAGCTCGGGGACAGAAAAGAGGGGAGTGATGACTAGGGGGGGGGTGGCTATCATGGCGGGGGCCATGATATTTCCCCAGCTTTCATGGGGCCTCTTCTGATTTCATTACGTCCCCGGCCCCCCCGCTGGGCGGCGCACGTGCCGCCGGTCATGATTTGCACCCCCCCCTCTTGGACACCCCCCTCTTTGCCGCCCCCGAGGAGCGGGGGGGCAGGGCAAACGGAGGTCAGCCAGGGCGCCGGACCTTGCAGGGGCCTGCAGGGCCAGCGCTGCACTGACCGAGGCTTGGGCGCAGGATCCTGCAATACCCTGCCTTGGCATCGCTGGGGCGCGCGCGTTTTCTTTTTCCGGCGACGATCACCGAGGAGCATCTTGCATCCTCCAGCCAAAAGAGCACGGGCGAGACCGACAAAGTGCGTGGGGGATGGACGTCCGAGTGATGGTGATTTGCAGGGTCATGCAAGGCCTGACTGGCCCGGGTCTGGGTTGACTTGAGGCAGAAGATCCCCGACGCAGGTCGGTCGACCATACGCATCGCAGGCCTAGAGGTTGACACCGACACCAAGATCAGCGGTGTGCCTCCACCGAGGGAAGACGAACCCGACCTCGGCGATGGTGGTAAGACTCTGGCTTCCAAGGTGACCGAAGCATTGCCACCAGCACCGGGATCGAGGATCATCTTCCCCATGTGGAGGCAACCCTTTGTGTCGGTGTTGGTGCCAATTTCTATCAGGAGGGGGGGGAAAACACACAGACACAATTAATCGTCAATTCCCAAGAAAAGGTGGAAAAAGATGGGAAGTGGTGGGGAAGACAAAAACCAACCCAAAAAATATGGGGAATATGGGAAAATACAGGAATATGTTTATTTGTGTGTATTTATTTGTGTGTCCTGGGGCCCCTTCATTCTAGGCATCCAAACGCAAGAATTACCCTTCGCCGGAGCGATCTTTGAGTGCGGGCCTGCCGGGGCCCCCCAAATCGCCGAACGCGATGCGGATGCGTCAGTACAGCGCCCTGCGCGCGCGTTCGGCTTCCGCGCGGCCCCCCGAAAGCGGCGCACCAGAGGCCACCCTTCATTGTGAAGGCCTGGCGGCTGGTGCCGCCGACCCTGATAGGCATCGACGACGACCAGGAAGGAGGAGGAGGAGGAGGAGGAGGAGATAAGGAGGAGGAGGAGGAGGAGGAGGGTCACTTCCTACCTAGGGTCACTTTGGCGTGCAGCCGAGTCGGGCGACCCCCCCCCCCCGCGCGCGCGCCCGGCGAGGCCGGTCTCCCCCCGCGGCCTCAAGCAGGCGGGCCGCCGCCCCCGCTCTGGGGGGGGGGCGGCGGCGTGGGGCACGGGGCAGCGCATCACCGTGCTCCTCCTCCCTCCTCCTCCTCCTCCCTCCTCCTCCTCCTCCCTCCTCCTCCTCCTCCTCCACGTCCTCCTCCTCCTCCTCCTCCTCCTCCTCCTCCTCCTCCTCCTCCTCCTCCTCCTGCTCCCCTCCTCCTCCTTCCTCCTCCTCCTCCTCCTCCTCCTCCTCCTCCTCCTGCCCCCCTCCTCGTTTCTCTCCTGCCCTCCTCACGCTGCTCCTCGCCCTCCCGCCGTCCTCTCCCTGTCCCCTCCCGCTCCTCCTGCTCTCCCGGGACTTTTCCTCGCCCCCCCTCCTGCCCCCGCCCACGTTCAAGCAGTGGCGAAGCGTCCTGGCTCGCCCTACCAAACAATGTTCTAAGAACCTTTTGTGGTTCCCACGAAATGTTCTTGGAGCATTTCTGGTTGGGACTGTCTTGTTTTATCACATCGGGTTGATGTTCCAAGAACCGTGTTTTTGCTCTTGGAACATTTCTGGGTTCCAAGAACGCTTCATGGTAGGACTACAGGAATGCCGGGACGGTCAGACCCTGCTCAACACGTGCTCCGCTTCCTAGACGCCTCCGTTGCTGGCCCTCCGGGCCCGCACCCGTGGCCCGCCCTCGCCGGGGGTGCCCTCGAGGGCACGGGGTTGTTCGCGCTTCGCGGTTAGGCTCCGATTCCTCCCGGTCCTCCGTTCCTCCCCGGGGGGGCGGCGCGAGAGCGCGAAGTCGTTCGCGCTTCGCGCAGCGCGGAGCGCGAATTCAGGCGCCCTTGCTTCCTCGTCCCCGTCGTCGCCTTCCGCTCTCCCCCTCCTCGTTCTCCTCTGTCGTCGTCCTCGTTTTCCAGCCACCGACCCTGAAGGGGGACGACGACCACGACCGCGGCGTCGGCGGCGACGACGCTTACGTGGGGCAGAGTCCTCAGTGATGCGTCGCGGGGCCTCTTTCGGAGTCTGCTAGTAGTCGGAGCCTCTTGGGAGCATCTTGGGGGCCACTTGGGAGCCTTTTTGGGGTCCCTTCAGGCATCCTGGGGGCCTCTTGGGGGCTTCTTGGGGCCGCCTGGGAGCTTCTCGCGGTCGAGAGCTCGAAATGTTCGTTCGGGCTCCCGTGTGGGTACCCTCCTGGAGCCATTTTGGGGGCTTCCTGGGCCGTCTTGGAGACCTACAGGGCGCTCTCCTGGGTCGTTTTGGGGCCGTCTTGGAAACCTCTTGGGAACCTCTTGTGCAAATCTTGATAGCATTTGGGGCCGTCTGGGGCATCGGGAAGCGCAAACAAACTATAAGGCATCATTGAATGTTGCCTGTCTTGGCATGCTCTTGGAGGCCTCTTCGAGCGTCTTGGAAGCCGCTTGAGCCGCTTGGGCTGTCAGGAGGCAATATTTAGCTTCTTGGACCGATTGTTCGGGGCCCTCTTGGACCGTCTTGGGGGCTTCTTGGGTTTTCTTGGCTCTTTTTGGACCCCAGAGCCCCCAGCGGAGAATGATATTCTGACCTGGGACCCCCCCCCCCTGGCCCCCCCCCCCCTTGGGGGGGAAGGGATCAGAGTGAAGGGGCTTCCCCTCGACTCAACTACGACGTTGCTTGATTTCGCTTTGGCTTCTCGTTGGCTGGCTCGCTTGATGAGGATAGCCCAGTGACATGGGGGTGGGGAGCGCGACGAGCCCAGGGAGAGCGGGGTGCGACGACGACGACGACGACGAGGACGGAGACGACGACGACGTCGAGTCAGACGGGACAGCGGCGTCTCTCCACACGCCGACAGACAGGGTCGGTGGATTTGCCACGAGGCCAACTCCCCCCCCCCTACCTGGCCTCGGCCAGGCCAGGACGACTGTCCGCAGTGATGGCTCGTTTCCCCGCTGGCATCGTCGCTGCCAGTCTCGTCGTCGTCGCCGTCGTCGTCCGCCGCCTGCCTTCGCTCTCTGGACGCCCGAAGTGGGTACGGCAAGAATGGGTAACCAGTGCCCAACAGCAGTTCCTGTTCATTTTGAACAGGATTCGCTGTCCACGCCGCCGCGGCCTGTGTCCATTCGAGACAGAAGGCCGCCTGCCCAACAGCGGCCGCTGTCGACTTGGGACAACATTTGTTGTTAGGCATTGTACCCATTTTTTCCGTACCCATTTTGGGCGTCCAAATTCGCAGCGCCCCTTCCCCGACCAGCTTCCGGCCGTCGTTGTCGGCCGGGCGCAGAGAGTTGGCCGCGGCCCCTCTGGACGTGCTCGCGCCGTCCCTGACCCAGACCTCCTCCTCCTCCTCCTCCTCCTCCTCCTCCTCCTCCTTATCTCCTCCTCCTCCTCCTCCTCCTCCTCCTCCTCCTCCTCCTCCTCCTCCTCCTCCCCCGCCGCCCAGAGGAGCCCCTGCCGCTGACTCGCAGCCGCAGCCGCCCTGGGTCCGCAGCCGCGCAGCCGCGCGCCAGCCGCTGCCCCGCGTGCCGGCCTCCTGCATCCCAGCCCAGGGCGCGGGATGGTCGGGCCGAACGAAAGGGGGGGATAGGGAAAGGGGGGGTCACGAAATCTGCTGCATGCAGCTGGTTTCGGCCTCACCGAGGGGCCCATTCCTCGATACATGAGCGCCCCCCGGCGGCGTGAGGCGCCGGGAATATTAGCTTCGTGAGCTGATTCTCCCCCCCCCTTTGCTATCTCCTCCTTTCGCCCGACCCGAGATGGAGGGAGGGGAGGTCAACCACGCGAACCCAGACATGATCGCGTCGTAAAAGAATCAAGACGAAAGTGTTTCGCTATTTTCGGCCCCTGGGGGCCTTGGCCAGGCCCCGGGACCGTCAGAAAATGATTCAGGATGACAATCCGGCCCCGGGGAAAGGGTCGGGGCTTCCGGTGACGCCGTCCTGAAAAAATCAGGGCGTCGCATGTCTGTGAAGAGGAGGGATTCCGATCTGGATTTGGATTCCGATTTGGATTTGCTTTGGCTTCTCAATGGAGGCCTCACCAGCCCGCCGATTCCCGTCGATCCTACTTCTCCCGTGCATGCTTGGCCGTCTGCCGTTGCCCAGTGGCTTGCCGCCCGTCGGCTGGGAGCGCCCCTGCTGACCTCCACCGGCAAGAGTACTGTTTCGCTGTGCCGGCTCGCCACGCGAAGGGGGGCGTAGGGGACGGGGGGAAGGCTTCTTGGAAGCACCCCTGCTTCTTGAGAGGCGCGGGCCTTGCCTACAGATCTAGGGCCAGCGCCTTCTGAGTAGCGGCCTCCCTCCGAGAAGCCATGCCCCTGCCCCTGCCAGCTGTTGCGCGCCGTCACGAGGGGAGGGAGAGAGAGGGGGAGAGACAGGGAGGCAGAGAGAGAGAGAGAGAGAAAAAAAAAAAAAAAAAAAAAAAAAAAGAGAGAGAGGCACGGTGCAAAGACTATTTTTGGAGTCCACGCCGGCAAACATTTCTTCGGCCAGCGGGCGCCAGCGAGCCGAGAGGCAGGCGCGAGCGCCGGTCGGGCCACGGGGGCGGCACGCGCCGGGAGCAAGGCCCGGGCACGAAGACGCGCTGGCAGGCCCTCGACACTGCCGCTCGCATCCTCGCAGCCGTGGCGCGCTGCCGGCGAGAGCCCGCAGCCCGCCTGCGCGCGCCGGCGCGCGGGCCCGCCCGCGCGGCAGGTCCCGCGACAGCCGGGGCTCCGGGGAGAGCTGCAAGCTCCTGGGCAGCGGCGCCGCCGCCGCCCGCTCGGCGGCGGCGGCGCCGGCGGTGGCGGCGGCCGACAGCGACGGCGGCGGCGGTGGCTGCCGACGGCGAGGGCGACGAGGACGACGTCTCTCTCTCCCTCTCTGGCGGTGTCTCGTGCCTCCCCGTGGCATCTCCTCCCCTCCCTCCCCCCGTCCTCGCCTTGGGTACGTCCGAGGGCCCGCCGAGAGCCTCCCCGAAAGCCTTGGGGTGTGCGCACTAGAGGTGTCCTCTCCACCTCCCTTCGCACACGCCTGCGCATGCCGATCCAGGCCAGGCGCGTCCCAGGCACCCGCCCGACTCCCCATCGGTGCATGCTGCGGATGATCCAACCGGCATGAGGGGCGGGCAGCCGCCGCGCGTGTCGCCCTCGTGGCAGCGTTAGGTGCTACCTTCTCTGTCGCCTCGTCGTTCGTTCCCCCGTCTGTGCTCGTGTCCTCGTCGTCGTCGTCGTCGTCCTCCTCTGATTCGTGTGAGTTACCCGAGTGCGCCTTATGTTTTTGAACAAAAAGTTCTGCGCGGAGCGTGTGTGGGGGGGAGGATGGTTTCGGCAAGCGCGCGGTGGGGGTGGGACGGACTGTCAGATGAGACGCACAAGCAGCCTGTCTTGATCACTGCAGCACTGCACTTTGCCTCTTGTTTTTGTTGTTGAAGCATTGGGCCGCCGGGCGCGATGGCAGGGGGGCAGTGCTTACTGGACGGCTCGGAGCACGCATTCCTGGCTTGGCCAGGGGGCCGGATGTGCCGATCGGCCTGGCCAGGACCAGTGCGGATGCGCAGCTGGAGCCGTACAGGGGGGGGGCGGGGGGATGGGCGCCCCCCCCGATCTTCCTCGCATCTCGAACGATGAGAACAAGGGCGGTGGAGATAGTGACCTCATCGGCTGCTCGTCATCAGCGACGGTGACAGCAGCGCCACTGCCGCAGACGCCGACGCCGACGCCGACGACGATGCCGACGACGACGACGACGACGACGACGACGACGATACGCCGACGCCGACGCCGACGACGACGGCGACGACGGCGAAACCGATGAAAACGACGCCGACGCTGACACCGACGCCGACGCCGACGCTGATGCCGACGCCGACGCCGCCGACGCCGATGCCGACGACGACAACAATGACGCCGACGCCGACGCCGACGCCGCCTCCGCCCCCGTCGCCGCCGCCGCCGCGGCCGCCGCCGCCGCCGACGACGACGCCGACGACGACGACGACGACGCCGACGCCGACGCCGACGCCGACGCCGACGCCGCCGACGCCGACGACGCCCGACGCCGACGACGCCGACGACGACGTCGACGGCCGACGCGACGCCGACGCCGACGCCGACGCGACGGACGACGTCGCCGACGACGACGACGACGACGACGACGACGACGACGACGACGACTTCGACGCCGACGACGACGCCGACGCCGACGTCGACGCCGACGCCGACGCCGACGTCGCGCGTCGCCGCCGACGCCGATGACGCCGACGCCGACGCCAACGCCGACGCCGACGACGACGACGACGACGTTGACGACGACGACTTCGCTGACGCTGTCGCTGGCGCCGACGCCGACGCCGACGACGACGAAACCGATGAAAACGACGCGGACGCTGACACCGACGCCGACGCCGACGCCGACGACGACAACAATAACGCCGACGCCGGCGCCGACGCCGACGCCGCCGCCGCCCCCGTCGCCGCCGCCGCCGCGGCCGCCGCCGCCGCCGACGGACGACGACGGCACGACGACGGCGACGACGACGACGACGCCGACGCCGGACGCCGACGCCGACGCCGACGCCCGACGCCCGAACGCCGACGCCGACGCCGACGCCGACGCCCGGCCGCCGCCGACGGCCGACGCCGCCGCCGACGCCGACGACGACAAAACTGAGCCGACGACGACCCGACGACGAAACCGACGCGCCGAAGACGCCGACGCTGATGCCGACGGGACGCTGCGCCACCCTGTCGCCGCCAACTGCGGCCGCCGACGACGACGACGATGCCGACGACGACGACGCCGACGACGACGCCGACGCCGACGCGACGCCGACGCCGACGCCGACGCCGACGCCCGACGCCGACGACGCCGACGCCGGACGCCGCCGCCGCCGCCGCGACGCGAGCCGAGCCGACGCGACGCCGACGCCGACGCCGACGGACGACGACGACGACGACGACGGACGACGACGGACGACGCCGACACCGTCGCCGTCGCCGTCGCCGCCGCCGCGGCCGCCGCCGACGACGACGACGCCGACGCCCAAGCCCAAGCCCAAGCCCAAGCCGACGCCGCGACCGCCGCCGCCTACCCGCCGACGCCGACGACGACGACGACGGCGACGCCGACGACGACGCTGACGCCGAATCCGACACCGAGGCCGGCGCCGACGCCGACGCCGACGCCCGACGACGCCGACGCCGACGCCGGCGCCGACGCCGACGCCGCCGCCGCCACCACCGCCGACGCCGACGACGACGATGTCGCCGCCGCCGATGCCGACGCCGACGCCGACGCCAAACGCCGACGCCGACGCCGAGCCGAATCCGACGCCGACGCCGACGATGACGCCGACTCCGACGCCGCCGCAGCCGCCGCCGACGACGACGACGCCGACGCACGCCGACGCCGTCGACGACGACGACGACGCCGACGCCGAATCCGACGCCGACGCGACGCCGACCGAGACGCGCGAGCCGACAAAAGGCGCGACGCCGACGCCGACGCCGCCGCCACCACCGCCGGGACGACGCCGACGCGACGACGACGACCGACGCCGCCGCCGCCACCACCGCCGACGCCGACGACGACGATGTCGCCGCCGCCGATGCCGACGCCGACGCCGACGCCAACGCCGACGCCGACGCCGACGCCGAATCCGACGCCGACGCCGACGATGACGCCGACTCCGACGCCGCCGCAGCCGCCGACGACGACGACGCCGACGCACGCCGATGCCGACGCCGACGCCGACGCCGACGCCGACGACGACGCCGAATCCGACGCCGACGCCGACGCCGACGCCACGCCGACGCCGCCGACGCCGACAAGGCGCCGACGCCGACGACGCCGACGCCGCCCGCCGCCACCACCGCCGACGACGCCAACGCGACGACGACGACGACGACGACGACGACGACGACGACGAACGATCGACGGCGCCGCCGCCCCCGTCGCCGCCGCCGACGCGGCCGCCGCCGCCGCCTCCGCCGCCGACGCCGACGCCGACGACGACGAGGACGATGACGCCGCCAACGACGACGACGCCGCCGACGCACGCCGACGCCGACGCCGACGCCGCCGCCGCCGCCGCCGCCGCCGCCGCCGACGCCGACGCCGACGCCGACGCCGACGACGACGCCGACGTCGAATCCGACGCCGACGCCGGCGCCCACGCCGACGTCGACGACGACGACGCCGACGCTGACGCCGACGCCGACGCCGGCGCCGACGCCGCGACGACGACGATCGACGGCGCCGCCGCCGGATCGACGACGCCGACGCCGACGACGACGACGATGACCACGACGACGACGACGACGACGACGACAACGACGCCGACTCCGTCGACGACGCCGACGCCGTCGCCGTCGCCGCCGCCGCCGCCGCCGACGACGACGACGACGCCGACACCGACGCCGACGCCGACGACGACGACGCCGACGCCGAATCCGACGCCGACGCCGACGCCGACGCCGACGCCGACGACGACGATCGACGACGGCGACGACGACGATCGACGGCGCCGCCGCCGGTTCGACGACGCCGACAACGACGCCGACGACGATGTCGCCGCCGCCGATGCCGACGCCGACGCCGACGCCGACGCCAACGCAGTCGCCGACGCCGAGGCCGACGCCGACGCCGACGCCGACGACGACGACCATCGACGACGACGACGACGACGACGCCGACGACGATGACCACGACGACGACGACGACGACGACGACGACGACGACGACGACGACTACCGACGGCGCCGCCGCCTACCCGCCGACGCCGACGCCGACGACGATGACGACGACGACGACGCCGACACCGTCGCCGTCGCCGTCGCCGCCGCCGCCGCAGTCGCCGCCGACAATTGCGACGACGCCGACGCCGACGCCGACGCCGACGCCGCCGCCGCTGCCGACGCCGACGCCGACGCCGACGCCGACGCCGACGACGTATCCGACGCCGAAGCCGACGCCGCCGACGCCGCCGACGCCGACGCCGACGCTGGCGCCGACGCCGACGCCGACACCGCCGCCGCCGCCACCACCGCCGCCGACGACGACGATGTCGTCGCCGCCGATGCCGACGCCGACGCCGACGCCAACGCCGACGCCGACGCCGACGCCGACGCCAACGCCGACGCCGACGCAGACGCCGACGCCGACGACGACGCCGACGTTCGACGACGACGACGACGATCGACGGCGCCGCCGCCTGGTCGGCGACGCCGACGATGACGACGATTCGCGCAGGCGCGTCGGTCCGCGCTGGGTCTGCCCGCGCGGGCGGCGAGAGGGAGCTCAGCGGAGCGGAGGCGGGGCCCTTCGGTGGGCGTCGACCCTTGTCGCTGCCGTCGGTGTCGTCGTCGGCGTCGGCGGCGGCGTGGTCGCTGTAGTCGTCGGCCCCGTCGGCGTCGCCGCCGCCGCCGTCGTCATCGTGGCCGCCGCCGCCGCAGTCGTCGTCGTCGTAGTCGTCGTCGCCGTCGTTGTCATCGGCCTCGTCGCCGCCGTGGGCGTCGTCGCCGGCGGGGGCCATTCTCGCCGCAGGAGCGTTATTGGGCCGAGTACCGACGTCTGAGGAGGGATATTCAGGGAGGAGACGCTTTCGTCTGTGCCTCCTCGGGCTCCTCGCCCCCCGGCTGGATCCGTCTCGAGATGTTGGTCAGACTGGGCAGCTGGATAGGCAGCACAGGTGCCATCGTTCATCCGCACCTTGCGCGCACTGGTTTTCGGTCAACCAAGTTCAAGAGTATGTTGTAGCCCGCAGCAAAACACGTGCACGTGCTTGATATTGTGAAGGTCTAACGGCCGGTGCCGCCGACCCTGAAACGCATCGACGACGACCAGGAGGGGGAGGAGGAGGAGGAGGAGGAGGAGGAGGAGGAGGCAGTGATTAGGAGGAGGAGGAGGAGGAGGAGGAGGAGGAGGACCCCCCTTCCTGTGACCCCCCCCCAGGGAGGAAGAGTATGGTGTAGTCCGCATCAAGACACGTGCACGTGCTTAGTATTTCAGAGTAGCGTTCCTGCTGCAGCGCTGGCCACATCGAGGATCGGTGTACTGCTGCCGTCGTTCGGAGTGTCGCGGTTGCGCAGACGTGGGCCGCATTTCCTTATCCGAATTGTTCCTCGTTGTTGGTGGCCCCCTCCTCTTCCTTCTCCGCTTCCTCCTGCTGCTGCTGTTGCTGCTGATGCGGTGCTGCTGCTGCTGCTGCTCATCTTCCTTCTCCTCCCTCCTCTCCAGAGAGCCAAGTTCCCCCTCGCACGCTTGTGCAGAAAACGATGGGCACAGTCTTGCACCTGCCCTCTGGGGGCCGAGGTCTTCGACGACCCCCCCGCTCGGCGGGTACAACTGGATTCAGCTCAGTGAGAAGGTACAGGTCGGAGGGTAGGATGCTCGTTCGTCCCTGCTCAGCCATCTTCCCTCCACCCTTCTCCCATCTACTCCACCATTCCACCCCTCTCCTCTTTCAATCCCTGCCGTTCCTCCTGGTTCTCCCTCCTCCCTCCTGCTCGCCCTCTTGCCTTTCCCGCCTCCTACCATCGCCACCTGTTCATCCTTCCTCCCTCCTCCTCCCCCTCGTTGTCCCACTTGACTTGGCATCGCTCGGACGTGTGCATTTTTCCCTCGGCGAGGACCATCGAGGAGCATCCCTGATCATTCGGCGAAAAAGCCACGCACGAAACCGAAAAAAACATGGGATGGACGTCCGAGCGATGGCGAGCTGAGGGACAGTGGAGCACGGGCCACCGCCGGCAAGGCCGCCATGAAGCAGACCCAGGCCTCGGACTGGTTCAAGCAGGCCGGCCTGCATGCTATTCCCCCCCCCGAGCGACCCGCGCGCCCCTTCCCTGGTCAGTCACCACCCACCAAACCACCCCAACCCAACCCGAAGGCTCAGATTTGCCCTCGACTTCTAGTGGGGGGGTCAGGAGACATCGAAAAAGCACATGTGGGACCCTTGCCCCACTCCAACCCGAAATTCGGGTCTTCGGGTTGGGTTGGGGTGGTCTGGTGGGTAGTCAGTCGGAGCGGCCGACATTCCCGGACCCTCGCCCCCGCAGTCGTCTCTCGGGCACGAGGGGAATCCACGCAAAAAAACGGCGCGGAGTCCACGCGGACTCCGCGGCCGAGAGGCCCTGACCCGAGCACACTGAAGGGGTCCACGCGGCGGAGGCCTGGCGCCTTTCGTCCTCTGTCTCTCTCTCTCTCTCTCTCTCTCTCTTCGGGGGCGGAAAAGAGGGGGGTGATGACTAGGGGGGGGGGATATCATGCCGCGGGCCATGATATCTCCGCAGATTTCATGGCGCCTCCTCTTGTTTCGTCCGCGCTGGGTCGCGCACGTGCCGCCGGTCATGATTTGCACCCCCCCCCTCTTGGACACCCCCCTCTTGGCCGCTCCCGACGGCGGAGGTCTGGCTCCTTTCGTCCCCTCTCTCTCTCTCTCTCCTCTCATCTCCCCGCGTTTCACGCCTGCGCGTGCGCACTGTACGTGCGCAGCTGCACACGACAGCAGGCTCCTGCGAAGGATCGGCACGGGAGCACTTCGTGGAGGGGCGCGCGGCGGAAGGGAAGCTGGCGGGTCGCGCACGGGTGCGTCTGCACGCGTGCTGCAGTGATAGCGGGCACAGGAGCACACGACTGTGTACAGTAGAGAAGACACGGTGGTGCTGCGCGCATCTGCCCTGATGTGTTTCTGTGCCCGCTTGCCTGTCTCATTGTCTCCCTTCGCCTTCTCTCCCCTTCACGACCCTTTGCCCCCCTTTCCCCCCCTCCCTCCCTCCTCCCCTGTAACCCCTTGGAACTCGTTAGAGCTCCCTGACCGTCCAAGCATTCGGCTCCCCCCTCCACACATAACCAGAGAGAGAAAAAGAGAGAGACCAACGGGAACCCTCCTCGTCCCATCGCCCCCCCTCTACTCACCTCCTCGTCACCCGTCCTCTCTTGCTGCGCGCACGCGAGGCCAGCAGTATCAACGCGTCGCAGGGGCAAACTCTCGAGGACCGGCCGCCACTCGGCCCCTGGCGCTCTCCTGCTCCTGCAGCTCCTGTCGCCGCTGCTGCTTCGGCCGCGGCTGCCGCTGCTGTTGCCGCACCCCTGCCGCTGCTGCCGCCTCGGCCAGGATGCCAGGGGCTGTTCAGGACTGTACAGGATGTCTCGAAGAAGAAGAAGAAAAACCCACAGAAACATAAATGTTTGGCGCTTTGCGCGGAGCGCCAAAAGTTTATGTGTATGTGGGTGTTTCTTCTTATTCTTCTCCTGATGTCGTGGCAGTCTCTCCCCAGAGCCACCGCAAAGTTGCAAGGTGCGCACTGCGGTGATGAACGAGGGCGTTGCTCTTCTACATCCCCTCGGCCAGGATGCAATGGGCTGCCCAGGATTGTACAGGACCCGAGAACAACCTCAAATTTACAAAGTCGCAGTTCGGTGATGATCATAAGGCGTTGTTTTTCTACGGCCTGTGGATGCTGTGCGCAGGATCTGTTGCGCAAATTGTCTGAATGCTGCACTGGTGTATCGTTGCGAGACGGCACAGGGAATCTGGAAACAAACGGAAGCTGACAACCCGATGAAGGCAAAAGTGGCCAGGGTTGAACAAAATATGACAGGGACTGAAACGAGCTGGACACAGTTTGGATTCACCGCCAGGGCGGGAACAATTCGAGGGAAGAGGCCCAGGGCTGGAGAGAGTGGAAAGCTGGCCCCGGCCACTCTTCCAGAGCCGAGTTGGTTGAGGCGTGGCCCCCACGCCCGAAGCGTGGCATGTTCAGGATGGGAAAAAACGCACTGACACAATTAGTTAATCGCCGACTCCCTGGAAAATATGGGAATACATGGGAAGTGGGGGGGGGGAAGTCGAAAATCTCGAAAATGTGGAAACATATAGGGGATCATGGTATTTGTGTGTATATTTGCGTGTCCTTGGGCTCCTTGGCACGTGGCGATCCGCGCGTGCGGCTTGGCTCGGCCCTCGGCTCGGCTCGGCCCCCGGCTCGACTCGGCTCTCGGTTCGGCTCCGCTGGCAGCTGGAGGCTGCCGCTCGGCTCCGCCGCGCTGCTAGCTGCACCGCTGCCGCGGCCCTTTCCTCGTCGCCGCGGCCGGACTCGCCTCGCACTCCTGGCCAGAACGCACCTTGGGAGAGGTCCACGGAGTGGTGTAGCGTTAAGTCGGGCCTGTTCCTCCACAGGAGGAATATTCCAAAATAGCAAAAAAATACTCCGGGGACGGTTTGTGGAGCACTGATTGGTTATATGTGGTTTGGTATGATTTTTTATGTTTCGTCCAAAATCCCCTTGTAGGAAGACAGGCCCGACTTCATTGTGGCGGTATCGCTGACGGTTTGTCTTCCCAGAGGCACTCTTGGCCGACCCGGGCCTGGGAGCCAATGGAGGCCCATCCCCCCTCCCGGCCCCGGGCCGGAGAGCTCCTGTGCGGCCTGCCAGTGTTCGCGACGTGGCTTGGGCCGACCTGGACCAACGTTGACCGAGACAGCCCCCCCCCAAAAAAACAGAAAAACAAGCAACATTTAAATAATAATAATAATAAATAATAATAATAATAATAATAATAATAATAATAATAATAACAATCTTAATCATAATCATAATAATAATAATGATAGTAATAATTTGTAGCAGTAATGATAATAATAGCAATAGTAAATAACAGAAAACACGTTGACCCGAGACAGCGAGTCCCCCGGTCTGATGCAGCAGTGGCATTGCGTTCTGGGGCGGTTGTGGGCATCACATCCCCCTCATCTTCCGAATCCTCTTGCTGGTACCACTGCTCCACTGCTTCTCCTCCCCGTCCTCGACATCCACCTGTAGTCCTCCTGCATCCCTATTTCCTTATGAAAAATTGACTCCCCCCTGCCGCACCCCGAGACGTCTCGGTAGGGAGGACCCGGCATTCCCCTGAGGTTTCTCACCGCTGATGCTCCTGAAGCTTAATTTCTGCAGCAGTTTTTGGATGGGACGCTTGTGGTTTTCAGAATGTGGCTCTCTCCCTAGCGCCGCGCACATTTGTTGTTAAAATCTGCAGGAGTTTAACGCATGGAGGGCGGGCCGTTTCCAAAGTGTGGCTCTCGTTTCAGCGCCGCGCACGTTCGTTTTGAAAATTTGCAGGAGTTTCAGAGATGGTGGGAGTTGTTTTTTTATGTGGTTTTCGTTCAGTGCCGCGTGCATTCGTTTTGATCTTGTACAGCGACGTCGAGGGTTCTTATGATTGACGTCGCAGGAAGGGTGTTCCGGCACGATGTCGGATTGCCAGGGCGCAACAGTCATGTTGATCCATTGCGTTGAAGTCCCAGGGATGGCGAACTTGCACGATTCAGGATCGGGAGGACGCAACAGTAAAGTTGATTATCGGGCTGGGGAATTCCCAGGAATTGTGTTTTGGCACGGTTAAGAATTTTCGAATGGGTGTCTTCAACAGGGTTTTTCCCGGAGTTTGAACAAGCTTTTCTCGCTTCAGTTATCCCCACCAGCCTATTCAGAAACCCTGTCCATGAGAGCTGACGGGAAAAGGGACGACGAGACACACATAGTGAACAAAAGCTGGCAACCAGGGTGAACAGAGAGATCTTTGGGAGCGCCTTGGAGGGCCTCTTCGGGCCATTCCTGGGACCCGCGTGGGGGCGAGGGAAGGAGCATGAGGAGGAGGAGGAAGGCGACGACGACGACGACGTGAAGAGGAGGGCAAGGACAAGGACGAGGACGAGGAGGAAGAGGACACCGAGGACGAGGACAGCGCCCTCAAAACCGCCTCTGGAAGCCCTCTTGGGCCTCTTCTAATTAGGGGACCTTGGGATCCTCTTGGAGCTCTGTTGGAGGGTTTGGGGGCACCCTTGGGGCCCGCTCCCTCTTGGAGCCCCCTTCTGGGGGTCCCTTGGGAGCCCGAGGGCCTTGTGGGCCATGTGGGAGGCCATCGCTCAAAGGTGGGGGTCGCACGTTGGCCTCCCCTCCTGGGACCATCACAATTCCTTGTTCGGGGCGCTCTTGGGCCGATGTTGGGCGCTCTTGAGACCGCTTGCGGGCCTTCTTGGTCCCCTCATGGGCCTCCCTTGGGCCATATGGGGGGGGCATCCTTGAGGCCTCAAAAACGCATCGGACGCGGGAAGGCGAGAAGGCACAAATCGTTGATTGTCGTTCGGTGTTTGAAGCATGTTGGCCTCTCATGGGGGTCGAGAGGGGGCCCCGAGAGCACTTAAAACCATCTTGTGGCCGTCGTCGGGCCTCGTAGAGCTATGTCGGAAACTACCTTGAACCATCGTCGGCTATCGTGAGCCGCCTTGGAGGCCAGCTTGGAGCATCGGAGGCCCTCTTGGAGCCATCTTGGGCCATCTTGGAGTGGTTGCGGCCCGCCCCGAAAAACCTGATGGAGGGGAGGGGGAGTGTACGCCTCCCCGAAGGAAAGAGCGTTCTTGAGGAATGAAGGACTTCGCTAGACCACCGTAGCCCAAGGGTCTGGTGGATTTCTTGTAAGGACATATGAAGCGGGAACTTGGAGGGAGGGTTTGTTGCATCATCGTTGATGCGTCTTTGGTTTACACTGGTCCTCCTCGACTTCCTCCTCTCTCCGTGTACTCCTGCTCGTCCTGGTGCTGCCGCTGCTGCTGCTCCTGCTGCTCCTCCTGATTCTCCTTCCGCGTCCTCCTACACCTCCTGCTTCTTCCTCTGGTCTTCCTCCACCTCTTCTTCCTCCTCTTCCTCTTCCTTCTCCTCCTCCTCCTCCTCCTCCTCCTCCTCCTCCTCTAACCCCTCCCGCTCCCCCCCTCCCCCCCAGGAAAAGATGCAAGCATTTCGCGTCCGGCGCACAGAGCGGGCGACTTCCAAGGACGGGCGTCTCTCTTCCGCCGCCCCCAGCGGAGGAAACCGCTCTGGGGCGCGGGAGGCGCTGCTATCTATAATATCGCTATCGCATTAGGCTCAATCCCGCAATCCCGCCTAATCTGGCTGAATCCCGCTTCATCCGCGGCTTGATCCCGCGCTGCAGCCCCCCAGTGGGGCTTAATCCTCATGATATCCTTCCGACGAAGACCTCCCAACAGCTGCCTCCTAAATCATCGTCCTCCGCTCCCTCTCCCCTTCCATTCGAAGAAGGGAAACGGCATACACATTCACTCTCGGCGAGTCGCGACGATTTCCTAGATCGGCGCTGGATGCTGGTGCCTCAGGCACCGCCCCTGGCATGCTCCGCGCACCAGGGAGGGGGTCCGGTGCCGATCCGAAAAAACCGCGCGGACCTTCGAAAATTGTCGCTTATGATGTTTTCGTTTCTTTGTTCACTATCCATCCTCTTCCCGTGAACACTACTCCACCATTTCGCACCGCCAGACCTGCCGTTGGCGTGGTCCAGGCGTTTCGTTTGAGACCTTTTTGGTTTTCGTTGATATGCGCGTTTGAAGGTGCTAACGGTGGTTTTCTAAATGTAGCTCTCGAAATGACGCGGCGGAACGTTGCGAACGGGTACACGAATGGAGGACGTATAATATGGTTTTGGCTTTTTAGCGCCGCGCGCATTCGTCTTGACATTCCCAGCAATCACGCGGATTGAGGGCGGTTCTTTTTTCCAGGATGTGGTCTTCGCCGCATTTCTCAAATTGCGGCGGTTGTTTTTGAATACGTATGTGTTTTTTGTTTGAGACGTTTTTCGTCATAAGCGTAGTATGCTTAAACTTTTATACGCAGTTACACATACGAGCCGCGTCGGCTCAACAGAAACACGCAGGCAGCGACAAGGGATCCGCCGCACATGGGCGTTTTCCCTTTACGCCCTCGCCTTCTGATGTGTGGACACAGGTCTTGTGAGTGGAGTTCACGCGAACCTGATTGCATATGGCGATTTACAACACCCGAGCATCACACAGAGCCTCCGGCTGAAAGAGGTAACGCCGGTTTTTGACCTGGACTTTTTGACATTCACTGGTACATGAGTTCGAGGGTGACCCAGTTCAGACATGCGTATCCCGAGTTTTTATTTCACAAGCTGCTATTCCTTTTGGTTGTAAGTCCTCCCTTTTCGTGACGAATTGCGCGCGACCGTGTGTGGTGGTAGGGACGCGTCTACATAATAATCAGATCGCCTCGGTGACCCGACCGCCGCCACATATGGCGGGACGCTCCAGAGACATCCGCATCACATATGATAGTTTTGATATGACGGTGCTCATTGGACACCTTCCGCCTCTATATACGCAGCGGGCGGCGCAACGAAAACGCAGGCGAATCACATCAACATGACAACGGTCTACATACCTTAGGGATCACCAGCAGCACCGTCACGATGCACACAGAGTGGAGGTTTCGGCACCAACCCAGGATCTGGCTACGAGTGAACGAACAAAAGCGACGCAGGCGATATCCACACGAGCACGGCACTTGAAGAACACGCGCACCGCGAGCACCAAATTACATCATAGTTGTCATAATTCACAAGATGGCGCGCATGGTCACAACACACCCCACACATGTGCATAGACAAGTACGACCAATATGGGGCTACACATGGATCGCACAATCACTACAACAAGGCATTGGCTTATCATGGTGGTGTCGAGACTTGGAGAAGCGACTGCAGGTATCATCTCGGAAACTGAACGAATTTTCGGATTACCTCATCCAGGCGATGATTGTGATATGGAAGCGCGGGCACATCTCGAGGTCACTCAGAATCATCTTGGCGCCAGCTGACCTAGCGGGAAAAGCACTCGCAATCAGTTTCGCATGGGCCGGCTTGCGCAACTTGGGTTGCGCCGCGAATGCCGCGAGGCGCTGGCCCACCAGCGGCGGGAGTAGGGGCAGTTCCAGGCGATCGCGGAGAATATCTGGATTCTCAAAATTGAGAGCCGCCAACAGACATACCGGATGACACATGCTGCCCCGCAAAGATGCGCGACGCATCGGCATCGCTCGAACCGGGATCGAGGCGCGACGACTTGCGCGCGCGGCGGACGTCCGCCGCAATGCGCGCCAACTGGCAGGCAAAGCGCCGAGAGCAAAATATCGCATTTACTGCGGCCCACCGGGTTTCAGACCATCGCTCGAGGATATCCGCGCGCGTCGAACGTCTTGGACCAGGAGGAGGCGCGGAGGCGCAGCGCATCCACCCCGACGTAGAACCCGCCAGTTTCGGGAAACAGAAGAGGACGACGACTTGAAGACGGGGGCGAACGCGCCCGAAATCACGGAGCGTCGACCCCGGCACGTCGCACTGGAGCGCGCCAGTGGATAATGAAATCGCGAGATTGAATCCGACGCATCCTGCGCGGAACTGCGCGCGGCAGGGGGCGCGGGTTTCCGCGCCGCCGCGGCGGGCGTCGGGCCAGGTCCCCGCCCGCGATCTGCATCCGCAGCCGTCGCGCTCAAGGCCGCCTATCCAACGATTGGAGCTTCGCAGCGTTACGGCGCGCAGCCAGCCTCGCAATCAGTCGGAGTTCCAGGGGGTCCGACGCGGACGCCCCCCTCCACCAGAGGAGCGCCGCGGTCTGCTCGCAGGGCGCATGGTGCGATGAGATCGAGGAGGAGATTGAGGAGGCGACGCCGCCGTCGTCTCCGAGCCCGAGCCATCGGGCCCCGCCGAATGGACTGCCCAGCGGCGTCGCGGAGGGCGGGGCGGCCGAGGGCCCGCGGTCGCCGAGCGCAGCATGGACGGTTAAGCGCGCCGCCAGCAACTGAACCGCGCGCTATCCAGAGAGGACTTCGCTGAGTTTCCCGCGCGCAAAAACGGCCAACCAGCTTCCCGCCAAGTCCAAAGTCGCAGAGAGCGCGCCGCTGGACAAACGCTACCAGAAGAATAAAGACACGCAAGTAAATCATCCATTTGTCTGACGCGAGTTGGACGAGACCCAGCGGCGCGCCGTTTTCCTGCGGGGGGGGGGGGGGGGGGCGCAACGCATCGTGCACGGATGCGACCCCCGAGCCATTGGCGCGGCCCCCCGGCGCGCCAGCTCCGCGAGGGAGCGACCCCGGCGCGGGGGGAATTGTGGGCAGTCCCCCCGGCGACCACGGCTCAGGCGCACGAGCGAGCTCCGCGACCTCGCCGGCGCCTTCCCGCGCCCCCGCCCGCGCGGCCCACTGCGCGCGGCAAGCCAGCCGGCCAGCGCGAGAAGACCGCGCGGCACTGGCGCATCGACGCTTTGTCCAACGGCGCCGCCGCGACGCCCGCGGAGGGGGCATTTGCCCCGCGCCGCGGCGGCTTCCAAGAATCGAGCGAAGCATTGGTTCAGTTCGCCAGGGTCTATCGCGAGCGGCATCCAAGACGCCCGCTGCGAATCGCCGCCGCGCCCCGCCTTTCTGAGAGCGCCCCTGCGCGGCCTGGCGCGCGGGCGCAGCCGGGCCGCGGCATTGGGCCCCGCGCCCCCGAAGCCGCCGCGGAAGCCTTTCGGGGGGCGCGCGGGGGAGGAATCCGAGGGCGATGGCAGGGGGGGACAAGGGGGGGGAGAGGGGCGTGGAAATGTCTTCGGAGCTCTCTAGATCCTTGACCCGAAGAAGCATTTAAGAACCCCTCGGGTTTATCTTAACACGTCAGCGTTCTCCCATAATTTCTCCGCGGGGGCATTTTCGCGGGGCGATATCTTTAGCGCCGCGCGTTCTTGCGGAAGAAATGCGCACCGCCCCCTTGCCCAGGTAGGATTCCCATTGGAATCTGGGGGCGTCCGACTTGAATTTTGTTTGCTACGAACAATAATAATCATGCTCTACGACAATACTGATGATAACATTATGAATAGGCCCACGGATCGGAATAACATGAAACATCGAAACGCGAATGCGAATTAAGAGCACGAGCGATCGCACAACTGCGAACGGGAAGAATAACAGTAATAAGTGGAAAGTTGCCGCGCGCCTTGAACCTATCATTTCTACATTGGCGCCCCCCGCGCAAGGGCGCAGGTTCCCCGGCCGCCCCGCGGGGGGGGCCGCCCGGAAGCGTCGCCCCCGCCCCGCGCGGGGGGCGACATCTAAGCGCCGCGCGCGCGCCACGGGCAGAAATATCACGACGCCGCCCCCCCCCCCGCCCCCGCCCGATGGCGCTGCGGGGAAACAGGACGCGCGCACATGAATGATCATCTGAAAAGACAGCGGATCAGAGTAAGAATGTGAATGAGATCCGCTTTGGGGTCTTACTGGGGCTCTATTGTATCTGCTGAGTGCTCTTGGGGCCTTAATGGAAGCCCATTGAGATCCAATTGTGATCCTGTTGTATCGGAATCATACTGGGATCTTATTGGTTTACGGTTGGAATCCAACCGGACTCCGATCGTATTAGCATCGTTGTATTCCTAGCTAGGAGTTGAAGTCCTGTTGTATTGGAATTCTACTGGAACTCCATTGGGCTCTTAGTGATGTCCGATTAGAACCTTATGATGCTGGTACCACACTGGGAGCATGTTGGCATCTAGTTGAAAGCGCCCTTAATATATACATGTTATTCGGAAAGTGCCGCGCGCCTTGAACCGATCAGTTTTACACGGTTGCCCCGATGTAGAAGTGCACGTGTCCCGGCCGTCGCGCAGGAGGGCCCATCCGGGGACGTCGCCCCCGCCCCGCGCGGAGCGATCTCCGCTCCGCGCGCGCGCAGGAAAATACGACGCCAACGCCCCCCCCCCCATTTCGAATAATTTTACGGAAAGGATTGCAAGAGGAACATTTTCCGAAAAAGACCATTGATAATCACAATGCGAATAATACCTCGATTGGCATACTACTGGGTCCGATTGCAATGGGACGCTACTGGAGCCCTGTTGAGATCCCATGGGAATCCTGTTGTACTGGAGTCCTAGTGGGATGTCATTGTGTTGTTATTGGAGTCGTGCGCAATAGGGTCCTATTGTATGGGA